ATAAGACATCGTTTGATTTTTATTTTGGTCATAATTATGAGACCCCAATCCACTTTGTCTATCATATTTATGCATTTTTCTAAGATAGTCCTTCTAATAATGGTAATTCTATCTAATACTCTTGATTAGCAATGATATTTTAGAAAAGATAACACCTATTTATTACAAATAATTAACTTAACTTATTTCCTTAATCTCTTCAAATTAGTCAACTAATTCTTATAATTAAGAGCGGAAGTAGTATTGTACGAGATAGCAACCTAAAATTGTTGGATTGAGGGGCGGCTAAACTGAGACATAGAGGAATAAAATAATAGTAACAGATTCAATGTATGATGGGAATAATTAGTTGAAGGAAGAGCGTGAATCATGTGAGATGGAAGGGATAATTAAGAAGAATTAGGGTTAGGCAGCCATATTATAAATGGACTATATTTGGACAACACCGTACCCAACTTTGCTATATGTTCTTGATAAGCATCCTCTGTCCCACCACCATTTCTGGCCTTATAATTCAGTCTTCTCCTTAAATATCTTCAAATTCAACATATCCTCCATACATACATACAGACATATATCTCTTTTAGTCTCACACAACTTCACCTCCACGTTTAACATGCAAACTATCCATTCATTTATCCACTTCCTTTTTCAAATTAAACAACCAAATTAAAACAAAATTATATATCGCGTAAATACATATAATCGATATATCTCTTCATCCTTAATTATAACTTCACTGGTCTTTTTTTTTCCCCCCCTTAATACCTGAAAAGTGTGATTCATTAATTGTTTGGATTTTGTACGTTCATAGTAGATCTTTCGTTTTAATCCATCCTATTGAATTGTCACTCACATTCAAATAATTAAAATAGTGCAAGATATTTATGCCATCAAAATACCACTAAATGTGTAGTGACGTGGCTCACAAAGATTCATCAAGTCGATAAGAATTCAGTGGTTCATATTTTATAAGGACATAAGTAAAAGTCTCACCTCATAATCATGATTTTTTAATTATAAAACAAAAGATGTTGCCACCATAAGACTGAATATCTGGCCTCAGAAAAATGAATAAATAAAATATTATCAAGTTATATGCCTTAAGACTTAAAAATTAAAATAAATTTAGAATTGAAGTTATATCTTCATATAATATGGAAACCCTCATAAAACTCTAATACATATAATATGGAAACCTTCGCAAGCTCTAATATTAATGTCTCTAAGCAATTCAACCCATTTCTTAAAGTTTATGCAATGCAAGTATGCATCTCAGTTATATATACGAATAAACTATAATGTGCATATTTTACTTCCCAAGTGTGTGTAATATCATAATCCTTTGTATGGTATATCTAACATTTTGATATGTTTTTTTTTGTTTTTTTATTTAGTATCCTAATTTTATTTTTAGTACGTTAAGTATCCTAGAGACTAGGATGTTAACTAGATATAAGTATGAAAATAACATCAGAGTGCTAAATACATTTTAAAAAATAAAATTAGTATACTAAATGTATTCTAAAAATAAAATCAGGATGGGACATATGCACTCGAACCTAGGGAAAAATAAATAAACCCAATGATTTTGTTGCATCTTGTACATATCAAACGGGAGTATGCTGTGGGAGATAGGCATTGATCTGAGACTGAAACCCGACAAAATTTTATTCATTTATCGTTAGCAATAGGCTCGTTGCCCTTGCTTTGGCCCCTAGGCACTAGGGCATATGGACGTTGAAAGATAGCGATGAAACTAGGAGGAGACTGATACAAAGTGACACGTAACAAGACAAAAGGTGAGGGAATGGGGTGATGATGGTGTAGACGTACAAAGCATGTCTCATATTACTGTATCCGTACGCTGCTGGCATGCTCCCAATAAATTCATTACGTTACAAAGGGGGGAAAAAAAGATCACTTCATTTCTAAACCACCTGCACACTCCTGCACCCGCGTACGTACGTAGAGATGCAGATATCATATTATATCATATATATTCGTTAAATATTAAATAGGAGCAATCGTAATATGAGTGAAGTGTGATATTATTTATTATATGAATGAATGATCAGGAGGATACTGAATCCACACACACACAATAATAATAATAATAATAATAATAACAGGGATAGGACAAACTCAGAGGATGTTGCTTCACGCTTTTGCCATATCCCACTCCTCTCGTAACTGCTGTCCCCTCCTCTCACGTGATCCTATTCCCTTCCATCTCATCTCATCTCATCCTTCCCCTTCACTCTTAAGCTTCTCCTCCTTTTCTTTACTTTGACCTTCTTTCTATTGTCCATTTAGGGGGTCTTGGGGAAATCTAAAACCATGGTTTCAGAAGCACTTTTCCGCAAAACGAGATAATCTCCTCCACATATTTACTTCGTAATCCGTAAAAACACTTCTGAAACCATGGTTTGATTTCTATCCAAACACCCCCTTAGTGTCTCCTAATTTTCATTCAGTTTTAAATTTTCATTTCTATATGTTTGTAACTCATCCGCCTACGAACTTTCATCCTATACAACTCAATATCTATAATTTAACTATTTAAAATCATAAGAACTGCTACCTCTGGTTTTTAATATAAGATCTTGTTTGATTTTTATTTTTGTCCTAAATATAAGATCCCAGTCTAGTTTGTCTCATATATTTATTCTTTTTCTTTCAAGATAGTTCCTATAATAATAATAGTTCTAGTCAATACACTTGATTAGTAAGGATATTTTAGGAAATACAACACCTATTTATTACAAATAACTCACTTAACTAACTTTCTTAATCTACTCAAATTAATCAACTAACTCTTATATTAAGAACCGAAAGTAGTAGAGTTTAAAGACCGAAAGTCAAAACAACGGAAATTATCCCGCATTGTGAGTCAAAATTAAATTTAACTCAATTATCACCAGTTCAAAATTATAAGAACCACAAGATTAATGTTTCCAATAAAAATTATAGAATACAGTCAACAAGAGAACGATAAGATTGTCCTTTGCAAACTTCTGACCAGGAGATTGATTTTGTCTAGATGTCGAAATAACATGTATAGCAATAAGGTGATATATTTTTAAAATGTCATAAAAGGAGGAAAAGAAAGGATAAATGGGGGGTGGAGGGGAGAGAAGGAGTCAACAAGAGGTCAAAGAGATGGTATAGGGATGATTGGAGGGTGGGGGTCCGTAATTCAAAGCGCTACAGCACAGCATTGCTTCATGGCGAGTTTGGTTTGGTGAGTAAGAAAAAGCCAATCAATGTAGACCCGTGAAGGCTAAGGACCATGCACGTGCACCCTCCCCCGTTGGCACGTGACGGGAGGCGCTTCACTGCACGTTACCTTTTTTTGATCAAGACGAGTCAGGTTCAGGAATGGCAGACTCAGACTCAGACTCAGATTCATTGTTTTTTTGACTGGCTCCTCTCCCATGTGATGTGATCTCCCTTTTTTGTCCTCCCCATTCTTTTTGCTTTTTGTCCCCTTCCTCCATTTTTTTTCTTCAACTTCAAAGCAACCCACGCTTACCTCCCAGTCGTTTCACACACCAGTCATCTACACCCCACTCCTTAATCTGCTGCTCAATTTTCTTATCCATGCATGTAATTTCTTTTTAAAATTATACAATTTCAGAGCATGCATGGACCTGAGATCTTATTCAAGTATAACGGGTCACGCTGCTACTCATAAGTTTGCTGTTGACACATAGAATTGAAATTTGCAGGGCTGGTTTAATTACCTTTATAAGTTATTCTTAGACCACATAAAATCTTAATTCGTGACTTTTTTAATTATTAAAATTTTTATTAATTTCTATGCTAAAACAGTTAATCATGGATCATGCATATGAAGTATTAGTGCACAATTTTTTTAAAGTCTAGATTGCACTACCATAAAATGGGTTTTAGAATCACAGAAGTAATATTTATTTATTTTAAAATTGATAAAAGATGTGAATTTATTTATGAGAAGATTGATGTATGTTTAATAAGAAGTTACATTAGGAAAGAAGGTTAGAGAATAGTGTGGTTGGGCGTGGAAGCAAGGATAGACATAGAAGAGGGTTGCTTTATGCCTCCCAGTTCAACGACAAAGTTCCTACTCCTTCTTCTTGTTCTTCCTTCTCTCTTCCCTCTACTTTACGTGCATGGTAAGTCAGCTTTCTTTTTCCAGGACTTCAATTTCTACACACCAAACCCTAATTCATTCATTCTATAACCTTTTTTTTTCCTGGGAAAAAAAAAGGAGCGTGAAAGTTGGAAGAAGTGGAACCTCGTGTGGCCCTAGCTCATAGGGCTGAGCAATGGGCGGGCTGGGCTAGCCCAAGGGTTAGCCCATAGCCCGCCCATTTATGAATAAATGGGTATGGGCTAGCCCATAACCCGGTAGTAGCCCGTTTTAGCCCGTATTAAATGGGTTGCGGGGCAGCCCGTTTGGGCTGACCGGGTTATGGGTAACCCATTTATTTTTCTACTCTGTTTTTTTTTCAATTTTTTCAGCAAAGTGTAATCTTATGAAACTGTTAATAAATTTTGCATACCAAATAGCAAATCAAATATAAAATAACATCACATAATACTAACTATATTTAATCACACAACTTCATTTAGAGTCACAAACAATCAAAGCCTAATAAAATAAAAAAAGTAGCCACCACCAATCATAATAAGTCATAAACAGAATAATAAATCCCAACATTTAAAGCGGAAGTCCAAAATGAAAGAACAATAGAAGTCAAAAACAAAGTTTAACCGAAGCTACTGAGAAGTTGCCGTGAAGGAGAACTGGAGAAGTTGAAGCCGAAGTCACAGTTTCAGTGAGCTACCAGGCACCAGTGACAGAGACCTTTCACCTTTGCTTCAATCTTCAACAGATCGAAGGACGCCACCAGTGACAGCGGCCTTTGTCTCAAACTCGAAGACAGCAAGACTCAGTACAAACAGAGCTGGGCAAAGCGACAAAGCTGAAATCTCAAAGCGAAAATCAGAGCCTCACTCTCTCACTCTCTCGCAGACGAATTGATTAAAGTCCATATATAGATCGCTGGAGCTCGAAGCAAGCTGGGCAATTGGCTCAAAGTTGATTGGCAGAGACGCAGTCACACAGAGTCGCAGAGTGACAGAGCGAAGGCGGTGGAGCCGTGGAGCTATGGAGCGGCAGTCGGCAGAGCAAGTGAGTGACACTGAGAGAGTCGTTCAGTCGAGCGATTGAGAAATGCCGTCACTCGCGACCTCGCGTCGCGTCTCGCCGTCGCCGAAATGGAAACTGGAAATCTGGAATGAACTATGATTGAAACGGATAATGAGAGATTGAATGAAAGGCTCAAACTCAACGCAGCTACTAGGTCTATTGTAAGGAATAAAAATTTTTTTTTTAAAAAATAAAATTTAAATGGGCGGGTATGGGCAGCCCGAAGCCTTACCCATAGCCCGTCCCGTTTAATGAGCTGCCCCGCCCATTTAAGTCAGCCCGTTTATTATCTTCTATTTGGGCTAATTGGGCGGGCTTTAATGGGTAAAAAATTATTGGGTTATGGGCGGGCTAGCGGGTTATGGGCTATTTGCTCACCCCTACTAGCTCAGCTCCTCGACGAAAGGAAACCGTAGCTTAGTCATGATGTTCCCACGACGGTTCGGGCTTTTTAGTTCAAAAATATTAATATTCATCCCCTTTTATTTCAATTCCCCCTCATTGACTGGTCCATCCACTAATGGGATGCCACGTAGGAGGGGTGTGTTGAAAAATTCAGAGTTTTGCAATGGAAGCGAAGTGCTATATTGTAAATTATATGTAAGTGGCCAATTAGTGTTTGAAATTTCTAGAGACAGAGAGGGCCAAGTGACGATGGTCAATGAGAGAAGAGGATTTGAGACAAAATGAGGATAAGGTTGAAGAGATATAGATGTGTGTGTGAGTGGGTGGAACACTACATATGATTGCGCTTTCTTTCACACATATCTCCTCACTAGTCATTCCAAATATTTAGTGGTGGCCATGGCCTTATATTATTACACTTTTTAATTAATTAATTAATTAGCTCACGAGAGAGAGCCGATTCTAATTTTGTCTACTTTCATTAATATTACATTTCTCCTAACTCTTTCAATAATTACATTTCCCATCAACACTATTCAATTCTTAGTTTTATGCTTTAACCATATGCCACGCCTCAAAATATATATTCTATAGAATCTAATAAGTTACAATATTATATTCATGGCTTAAGAATAATATCACGCTACCTTATAGTTCTTCTAGTAGTGAGTAAATTAAAACAACATGGGACGTTATTTCAAATCTTCAAATTTGACTTAGAAAATAGAGAGCGGAAATGATTTTTTTTTTTTGTGGATCATCCTTCGGCTAACAGAAGAAATTGATACAAAAACCGCAACATTAAACTTTAAGAAAGATTTAAGAAGATTCTTGGTGTGGTTAGGCCAAAAAGACAGAGAGGAGTGGGATTTGAGAATGGATAGGAAATTATTATTATTACTTAAATTAGAGATTGGGGGGAGGGAGTGGAGGCCAGGGTGAAGAATTGATATGTACTAATTATATTATATTGGGACACTAAAGTGGGGATAGGAGTGAACAATAAAGAGACAAAAGGACAAAAGTCCAAAATGGCTGCAAATCAATCAGGGAATTGAAATAAAAAAGGGGCTCCCAATAATGGACCATTTTCATGTGATTACAATTGACACTTCGAGATTTTGTATGTTCATCTCTGTCCTATTGCCTATAGTCGGTAACTAACTCTCACCAAAGATTACAGCATCCACATGCGCCCCCTAATTATTATTGTTATTATTATTATCCCGCCCTTCATTTATGATTTCTACAATTCTTCAAATTACTAAAATTAATTATCTGCCAATATTTAAATTTTGGGTTAATATAATTTTTTGTCCATCGAGTTTGTTCTCGTTTTGGTTTTGGTTCCTCAAATTTCAAACCTCCCCTATGAGCAAAATAATCCGAGTTTTTATTAGGTTATAGGGACTAGTATTTTAAATGAAAAGAAATTTGAAAGACCAAAATAAAATCTATGGTTTAAATTTTGAGAGACTAAAACTAAATTGAAGACAAATTCGAGGGACCAAAGTTTATATTAACTCTTAAATTTTCCATCCTTCGTCTCTTTTATATGTTCTTGTGCTTGTGTACATGTATCGTGTATATGCACGCACATATGTGGGTACACATATGCATGTGTTTGGATTAAGGATCGGTCTCATTAACGCAAGAAGCAGTATATGATTATACATTTCAATTACTTTCCGCTGTTGAATAGAAAATCTAAATTATTAATTTTTTAAGGTTAAAAAAAAGTTAAGTTAATTATTTCTAAACTACTCTTTTTAATAATATGTATTAGGACTATTTCTTAATGGGAATTTCTTGTAAAATCAATATGAATATTTGAGAGACAAAATATATTGAGATATTATATTTAGGAATAAATTTAATCTCTAACTAGTTTTTATATCAAGGATCAGAAGTGGTATTCATTTTGCATGGATGCTCTTGATTTCACAAATCAAGACCCATTATTATCATTATTATTATTTTGGACTGCACATAGATCGCTGAGATGAACTCTAAACACTTTCTATTGAATAGACTCTGTACATACATATGTAAATACGTATGTATACACACGTACATGTACATATATATATGCATACGTATATTCGCGCATGTTTATCTTTCGAAGCTTTAGCCTTCTTTTCATTAGACAATGTAACATAATGCGATTTAATTAGTTGTTATATATCTAACGGCAAACTATTTCTTCACAAGCATTTTTTTTCTTTTGTTAGGCAGCGTAGCTGTAATCAACTATATTTGTCATAATTAAAAAAGGAGAAAGGGAGAGAATTACTTTAAGGAAACAAATGAGTTAAGTGAGCTATAGCTGGCCTTGATATATGCAAACAGGGATCAAAAAGATAAAACAGTCTGGGGAAAAACTAATGATTATAGCATCGGTCAATAAACAGAGATCATTCATGTGACATTCTGGCACCAATTTCCATTTTCATGATAAAAAAATTTGATTTGATGCCTTTGATTAGATCTTACTCGTTGATGAGTTCAATTTTTTAAAACAAAAATTAATAAGCTTTTTATTGATTAATAGCAAAACTTTTTAATTTAGTTGGGGATTAGTCTTTTTGTCGGGCTTCGTTTAACTAATTTACAGCATTCTTATTAATTACATCTTGTTTTAAAAATATAAATATAAATAATTTAAACTGATTCCTTCTATACTTTTTGGGCTGCAAGTGTGTAATTTTTCTCTTATCACTTTAGAATAAGTTAATTTTTTAATCATGTTAAAATAAGTTAATTTTATTATTTATTTCTATTCATTTTTCCTAAAGCATGCATGTCCATATAGATTTATAAAAAAAATATCGTTAAAAATTTAATGTGATTAGCTAAATTTAAAAAAGGTAAGCTAGTTATGAAAAATCAATAGAATAAATTTTAATTTTGCTTAAATAAAAACAATCAGATTGCAGATTTTCTATGGAAGTGAAATAAATAATAGAGTAAAAAGGAAACGTGATGGCATTGGGAAGTGAAGGAGGTGGGGTTAGCTTAAAATGGGGACATTCCTATTGCTTGATAACGAAAATAGAATATTGTGGAGACCAAAGAAAAATAAAATAAAAAAAGAGGGGAATTATTGGGATTAGTGAGAATTTAGCGTAACGAACCATAAATGGAATTAATTAAGGAGCAGAAAGATTGGATTGTGTTGCTTAACCCAATTTGCTTCTTCTTCTTCTTCCTCGTATGTCGCACCACGTGCTGGCCCCACTTTGTTTGAGTGCTTCTCAAGCTTTCTTAATCAAATCTTCCTTTTCTTTTCCAGTTTCTTTTCACTTTCCCCTCCATCATAATGGTTAGATCAATGCTTTAATTTCTTCGAAAAACATACAAACCTTAAAATATGTCAGCTTAATTCGTTTCAGTCGATAAACTCAATCAACTTATAGTCCATACTAAAATACTCTTTTAATCTTTAACATAAAATTTATTTTGATTTAAATTAAAGAAATTAGACAAGTTAGTGAATTATAAAAAATATTACATATTTTTTTAAAATATCATAATTATTTTTTTATATCATTTCTTATCTTTTACTTGATTATAATTGGGAAAGTATCCTTAATAAATATGAAAAATATGTCTGGTATTTAAGATCAAATTTAACTTAATAATTAAGTTTTATATTAAGAAAAAGAAGTATACGCTTTTTTTGTGTGTGGTTAATTTAAGCTAAAAGCCTTCCTTTACCATGAGTCTTCTTTTGCAAAATATTCACCCGTGATGTTTTTTAAGCGATGATTTAAGAAATTGCAATTGCAATTTTTTAGTTTATAAATTGTACATATAATTATTTATCAGAGTTGAAAGTAAAGTGACAAAGAGACCAATACTGATCTAGCAACAATAATAAGCTTATCATAATTAAAAATTAAATTAAAATCTTTTCGTTCATTCATAACGAAAATAATAAGTCAATTTTTTTAAAAAAATATTTTGAATTTCAATTTTAAATATATCAGGACAAAATATATAACTAGAAAGCTTCAAAATTAAGTTGTGAACAGGAGATTATGCCCGATTCTGGACGTAAACTGAGGCCAAACATTTAAATGTAATTTTTGCAGGAAATACTTTCAATGACAATTAGAAGAAGAAAATATAAAGCGGGCTCAATAATTTATGCATATTATGAAGGGACAGCTTTCTTTTTCTTTCCTTGTTTATTTGTTTTATTTTTTGAGTTGCAAGGTATGAACTATCATGCATGTTAATTAATTTGGAAACATGTAATTTTAATTAAGGTATGCGGACAAATTAAGAAAAAGAGACGTGATAATATACAAGGCAAGGTGATTAAGAACCCAAAGCTATGCCTATGAGCACAATGGACAAGAACTAATCAACCAATATAATTAATACTTGATTAATTGGGTGATATGCG